ACAAACAAACATGAGCAAGAAGCGACAGTACTAATGCAAAAAGTTAAAGAAATCTGGTGCCAACTTTTGGGAACGAAAGATTTCGGGCCACATGATGAATTCTTCGCTGTTGGTGGGCATTCTCTAACGCTTGTGCTGCTACGGAACAAGATTCGAGAGCAGTTCGGATTCGAGCTTCAGTTCGATCGCTTTTACAAACGACCAACATTGCTGGCACTAATAGAGGATATATTGATGGCGAAGAAGTATGCAAACACGGCCGTTCTAGAGGTAAGAAATTATTGAGAGATTCAAGAAGCACTATTTTATAGAAAACCGTGTTTCTTATCCCATCAGTGCGAAAGTTAGCCGTAAACACGCTGACTGGAAAATCTGTCGCAGATCACTTGCATCTAAGAAAACTGATTTCTGATGTAAACTGGTGCAAATTAGTTCCTGTTGCAAACTGATGTCTGTCGCAAAGTGGTGTCTGTTGCAAAATGGTTTCTGCTGCAAAGAGATTTCTGAGAGTGTTGTCTTTTGCAAAGAGGTTTCTGTCTTCTGTTGCAAACTAGTTTCTGCTGCAAACTGGTGCCTGTTGCAAGCTGGTTTCTGATGCAAACTGGTGTCTGTTGCAAACTGGTGTCTGTCGCAAAGTATTGTCTGTTGCAAACTAGTTTCTGTTGCAAATTGGCTTCTGTTGCAAAGAGATTTCTGTTGCAAGGTGGTGTATGCTGCAAAGAATCTGTTGCAAACTGGTTTCTATCGTAAAGAGATTTCTGTTGCGGTGTGGTGTGTGCTGCAAAGAGGTTTCTGTTGCAACCTGTTTTATGCTGCAAACTAGTTTCTGATGCAAACTGGTGTCTGTGCAAATTGGCGTCTGTTGCAAAGTGGTTTCTGTTACAAGCTGGTTTCGGTTGTAGACTGGTGTATGCTGCAAAGTAGTACCCGTTTCAAGGAGGTTTCTGTTGCAAAGGGGTTTCTCCTGCAACCTGGTGTCTGTTGCAAAGCGGTGTCTGTTGCAGAATGTTGTCTGGTGCAAACTGGTGTCTGTCGCAAACTAGTGTCTGTTGCAAAATGGTGTCTGTTGCAAAATGGTGTCTGTTGCAAAATGGTGTCTGTTGCAAAGTGGTTTCTGCTGCAAACTGGTGTTTGTTGCAAAATGGTTTCTGCTGCAAAGTGGTGCCTGTTGCAAACCGGTGTCTGTTGCAAAGAAATGGGGGATGAGGGTTGCACTAATGATTCTCCGCCCCTCTCGCATGCTTTGTTCCGTGTTTGTTTACAGGTAGGGGATGAAACACAGACTGTACCCAAACATGTCTTCTTGCAAATGATGAATTGATTCGTTACCTCCAGCTTAATTTTTTCAAACGAAGGGATATTATCGCACATGGACACTCGGAGGATTGTTTGAAGTGTGGTTAAAGTGTGATCATACTCTTAACTTTTAAAAAGTACCTGCAAACATAGATTTTTTAGAAACAGTTTCGGAGAGTTTCTGGATGCACTACTGATCGGGATCACCACACCCCATTATCGCCAATGGACAGTGCAGCAACTGATGAGCAACTCGTCGTAAATTTTGTCAAACTCCGAGAGAACAGTGCTGCTACTGGCAACCTGTACATGATTCACGCAATTGCTGGCACCATTTACCCATACTACGGAATACTGGCCAGCATACCTGAAAGTCTCAATGTTTATGCAATTGAATACGATGTGCAATATCCATCAACAAGTTTAATGGCGTTAGCGTCCTTCTATTGCAGACATGTATGTTTACTTGCTTTGATAGTTTGGTCAGATGCAGTTCATAGCATGATTTTTTCCCTATTCAGCTGACAACTTTTCGAGTTCTATGGCTAGTATGTCATCGCCTACTGGTGATTCTGACGTTTGTTTTGTCTCCTGAAGAAATTACTAATTCGGCAATTTTTACCCGGCAATATTTCACCGTTCTAGATGCCACTGGCGTATGCTGAGCATCGATACCTCATCTCAAATACGGTCACTCACAGATCGCAATGAAGTACTTCATTGGTTCGAAGGGCATGAAAACTGAATTTGAATGTATTTCGTTTTAAAAATTTTTTCAGTAACGAATCCGGGCTTTTCGTGACGATTTTTTAAGACGGGAAGAGATATGAGTAAGCATACATACAAATAACGTGGATGGGATTAACTTAGTTCAGAAAAAGTCGCTAACTGATTTATGCAGGAATTTATGTCTGATTTATGCAGGGTTTATGTAATTTTAATCCATTTTACGAGGAAGGGAACAAGACGGAAAATGAAGTACCAAAGTGTTTAAAAAGTTTTGTGGAATGTGAAAAGGAATCAAAGCAAAAACTTACACGAAGTACACAAGCTCCATTCTTGGGTTTTTTTGACTGACTGCTCAACAGAATGCGCCATGTTTACTGAAAACTTCAAATTCACAGCACAGTGTGGATTCGCATAGCAAACGGAGAATGAACACGCATGTTTACATACACACACATACACACACACACACACACACACATGCAATAAGTAGAAACATACATATAAACAAACAAAGAGGCAAACTGCATAAATATACTTAGCCGTTGCGTACTTTTGATTGATACAGAAACGCAAAAATGTATGACTGCAGTTTAGATCGCGAGACATTGCAACGGAAAAGATGTTCATCTGATCGGACATTCGCTGGGAGGAATATTAGCTCGCGAAGTCGCTCAGTTGCTTGCTGAGGATGAAGGCAAAGAAGTACAATTCGTGATAATGCTTGACTCGTGGTCTCTTGGCACCAGCAATATACAAATCGAGACCGTCAAACAATATCTCCAGGTTTCGCATTTTACAGCTTCCTAGCTTCAGCAGTTCCCGAGATAATAATTTTCCCCGTCGAAAATTTCACGAGAGCGTATATGATTCCTAGGCCGGTATAGTATTCTTGATAGGCTGAATTTAAATTCTTCGAGTCGTACAGTGAGCAGGGGAAGTTATCCCAAAATTTCAACTTTCTGGCTCTCGTGGCTCCTAGACGATAATTTTCCCCGCTGAAATTTTCACAAAGCCGTACTGAATTTGAATTTGAGGAGTCGTATGTGGGCAAAAATATTTTACTAAAATTTCAACCCCCCAGCCT